GATCTGACACCCTCACACAGAAACACATGCAGGTGAGACACTATTGCACATAAAATAAAAATATATCTTAAAAAGACATTGGCAATAGAGCTTGGAAGATGGAAAACACTGTGTAATTAGCTACTTCTATTATTTCTCTATTGAGAAAAGGCAGTGTTGCTAGACACAGATCCCAAGCATATGACTTTCTTGTTTAATAGATGCAAAAGCAGATTGCCCCCCTTTTTTTGTAGTGAGAACCCTTAGGATTCTAGACCCATGGCAGGGTTCTGAGCCTTGATGCCAAGGGCCAGGTTCCACCCTTTCCTCACTAGCTGGGGCAGCAGAGCACAGGCTAAGAACAACACTTAGGACGTTGATGGTTCTCTTGAGTTGAGGACTTTTTTCATATGAAGCTTAAAGGCTATGGTCACATAGTGGCTTCCTTCTGCCACTATAAGCCCTCCTCATCCCCACCTCCTCCTTTCCCCTAAATAGTGACTGAATGTGATAGTGAGGCATGCTGGTATGTGGTTACAAGTGGTACTGAAGAGGGCAGAACTCATCTCAAAGGTCTGGATTCAAGAACCAACTGAAGTCTCTAACGCCCTACTTTTTGAAGGTTCAGCACAGAGAAAACCAGTGGCTTCTCATTCCAGGATGGGTGGCACTTGGAGGACATGGGGTGTGTATGAGGTCAGACGAAGCATTGAGGACAGTGTATTCTTAGCTACCAGTTGGCCCCAGACAATGCAGCTCATACTCTAGGCTCAGAACTTCTCGGAGACTGGTCCTAGACCTTCCCCATGTGAGCCATCTTAAACTTCCCTCAACTGTGTACTGTACACAGTCTTTTCAAATCTCCATATGTCATCCTGCCTGGAAGTGTAGGGGTGGGGTGGGTAAAAGGTTTTTAGGACTACATCTCTGCTATTGGTCCAGACCCTCAGAGGTGAAATATTCCTTGGCCATTTGATACTAATAATTAGAGTGATTTGAGATGAGACCATGAGGGAAAGAACACATAATGTATTTTTTCTCTTTGCCTTCTCTCCTGCACAATAGAACGAACCCTGTTTACAGAGCACATTGGTATCCTGAGGGGTTGGTTACTGTCATATCAAATCATTCTCCCACCCTCAGCAGCCTATCTAGATTAGAGGCAGAACAAAGAAATAGCAGTAACTTCAGGTCTATGAGGTGATCTGATTATTTTAGTCAAAAAGTTGGATGACTTTCTGTGCTCCAAGATGGCAACAGATCTGATTCTCCACAGAGAACCATTTTTATAGTTATACCAATAACAATTGGGAGTTTTGGACACTGCTTAGTGACCCTCTCAGGTAAGCGGCACCCCCCAACATGTTGTGACTGTGGCTAGGAGAGACAGCCTGCCACTCTGCCAGTCATTGGGAACCAAAGCCAAAAATCTAGGTCCAGATAGGTAATTTTTTTCAGAACCCTCATTAAACCTAGCCATTTGCTCATGAAAGTGTGTTTTAACTATATCCACAGGCCTTTTAGTTCCCCAGCCCCAGTTCCCAGATATAATTAATTCTCTAATATATACAAGTTCCTATTCAATAATGATTTTTTTATTTAGATAACAGCAGGAATGAATTTTTAGATAAATTCTGCTTTTTCTCCCCTAGAAGAGACAAAATGTTTATTTTTATTTCACCCCAATTTCCACAGTCTCCAAACTTTCCCTTGCAGACTTCTACTGTGGCAACACCTTTGCACCAGGTGGGTGCAGGTTTCCCTTACACTGCCACCAACTGTCTGAAGGAAGCACGATGGAGTAGTTATGGTTTCAGCCAGACTACTTATGGGGGAGTACTAGCTGGTGGCCTTGGGCAGGTTACTTTCTCTTTGCCTCAGTGCTCACATCTGTAGAATGAAGATAGCAATGACAACTACTTGATCAGGTTGTTGTAATAATGATTGACATATGTCAAACATTTATTTTGCTGCCTTGAGTTTAGTAAGAATTTACTATAGTAAGGTGGTGTCTTGTCCCATTCATGGTACCTATAAGCTCCACTCCCTGAGGGATGAGGCATTTATCATCCTGTTGGGCAAAGTCAAGTCTGACTTTTGCTTTCTACCACTTGATTGACCTGACAGGCAGAGTATAAGTTGAAAGCAGAGGGGCCATGTCACCTGGCTACTGAAGGAGGGAGTGCCTACTCCCCCAGCAGTATCTTACTTATTTAGATGTAGTTTGAACTCCTGATCCTCCTGCCTCTATCTCCTGAGTGCTGAAAATACAAACGTGATACTATGCCTCGTATATGCAGTGCTGGGGATTGAACCCAGGACTTTGTGCATATAGTTAAGCACCCACCCAAATGAGCTCCAGCCCTTCAAGCCCTTTGAATAAGACAGCTTAGTTGTAGTGTTGGGTTTCATTTAGTTTTTATATTTTTCAGTGAGTCATTTCTAAGTCTCTGGATTGTAAGATTCGTAGGGAAGTAATGTTGACGAAGCTCTCCCCCATCCAGGGACTTCCTGCTAGCAGCTACTCATCCAACTACAATTACTAATGGCTAACACACAATGCATGTCCCATTGGTGATGCTGCCTGACCGTCTGTCAGTCCTAAGGAAGAAAGGAAAGGTTATGGTGAAGGGAGGGATGATCATGATACTGGAGATCTGCCCAAGTCTTCCCTGGGCCCTGATTTGGATGCTGTTCTCTGATCCTCAAATTAAAGTATTCAGGGAAACCTGGTCCTACACCCACCTCCTCAGATTCTCTAACTTCTTTGAAATGCACCCAAGGGGGTAGAGTTCCCTAGAGATCTTTCTAGTACTAATACTTCCAGGATTCTTGGACTGTAACCTGGGAAGTGTTCGAGAGTGGTTCCTGTTTTGGCCTGATGGAATCCATTTGCAAAGAAGAAGATAAAAAGAAAAAGAAGAGCCAGGAACCTCATCGTTTTAATGCAGGTTTATACACACACACACACACACACACACACACACACACACACACACACTATGTATATCTTTGTATCATGTGTACCTATGTATCAGTACACACATGGATGCATGCTGATGGCAGCATACCTGTCTGTTTTAACCTCTGGCTCACACATGCACTCTCACATTCACACACACACACTCACACATACATACCATGTACATACATGCATCACATGTACCTGTGTAGCGATACACACATGGATGCATGTTGATTGGTTCACACACACACACCATATACACACTTGTATCATGTGTACCTATATATCAGTACACACATGCTAATGGCAGCATACTTGTCTGCCCTAGCCTCTGGCACACACACACACACACACACACACACACACACACACACACACACACACACATATGTCATGTCATGTTTACCTGTGTGTCAATACATGCATGACACATGCTGATGGCAGCATAGCTGTCTTCCCCAGCCTCTGAACTCTCAAAGGAGAAATGAGAACACTGGACTCTGGCTAAGGGAAAACACGGAATCAGAACAGTGGCTCTCACTGGAGGAAAAGGAGAGAGGAAGGAAATGTGGGGAAAGGGACACAAGTGGTAGGGAAAGAAATTTTATTTCCAAGCTTTTAAGAGAATATTACAAATAACAGAGAGTTTTTAAAAAACCCTAAAAACTAGTTTAAAAAAGTACTTGACAGTGTCCATTTAATACCCAAGGATGGCATGTCCATTGTGCAATGACAGTAAGAAACTCTGCAGGTGACCACCCAGTGGCCTTCCCTGGCAGGGTCCTGGAACACACAGGTGGGCTCCTAAGACAGTGTCCTGTGGCTGGCTCCTGTGGCAGTGTCCTGGTGTACTTGGCAGCACAAGAAGGGCCAAGGTGCACGTATCACTGAACACAAGGGAGGGTACTGGTGCCAAGCCTCCAGGAATACTTAGATTGGGGTTCACTCCTTCTTTGAGATACACAGGCCAGCGTCACCCTACAATGCAGCAGACCCAGGTGGGAAGGTCTGTGTGTGTGAGTACATGTGTATGTGTGTGCGTGCGTGCGTGTGTGCGTGCGTGTGTGTGTGTGTGTGCGCGCGCGCGCGTGTGTGTGTGTGTGTGTGTGTGTGTGTGTGTGTGTGTGTGTGTGTCTGTGTGACTGCATTATCCTGGTTGTGGGTGGAGCTTAGTATCGGTGAAAATTATCCCTGGCCTGCCATTAGAAGGTTGAAGCCACAGCAGCAGACTGTGCTTGAGATACTCATGAGAAGTCGGTACTTCCCTTTACACACGCACACACAAATACATGCACACATGTATGTGTGCGAGTCCCCCATCCTGTAAACATCTTTAAGCCAAATCGCCATAAAATCAACAAGGAAACAGAAAGATACCATCTCTAAGCCTCAGCCGTCTTTAAGCTCACATGATTCTTGTAGTTACAGCTAGGAAAGTTCTTCCTGGAGGCGACAGCCCCATCTCTCTGGCCAGGTATATCGATAGCTCCCTTCCTGAACGGTCTCGGGGGAGGGGGGTCCGTAAAGCCATTTGAGTCATTGGAACTTTGCAGAGTGTAGAGGTCCCCTCCCCGACAAGCATGGTAGGGGTACCAGCTCCCAAGGTCCCACTCTCTCCCTGGGGCACCCAGCAGCACCCAGGAAGGAGCAAACCCAGGGCTGAGAGAGAGGTGCGGATTACAAAAGCCCTTCCCTGGGTGGCCTCAGCCTTTTCTCTTTGCTGCCCTGACACCCACAGGTACAGCAGGTACCTCAAGAACCGGCCACCATTTTCTGCCCAACTCTTTTTGGGTGCCTTGCTACTTGTCATTCTCCAGGGAGGAATGTTTTCTTAGGGCAGGTTCCGTTGGTCCCCACCCATTGTTGTTGTGGAGTTTGTGTTGGTTTCTCCCTTGCTGTGAAACCAACAGACCAGAAATCATAACAGCTCTCCAGCAGGCAGCCTCCCCAGAGCTCCCCTCTGCTCCACGTTCCCTCGAGCGCCCCCACCCACCCACTGCTGGATTTCCGCCTCCCATTCCTGCTCCCTGGGCCCCTCCTGGCCCAGCCTCGTTCTTCGGTGTGTGTGGACTCTCTCAGCCTTCCTCCCAGGCGTCCTTTCACACGGTGGTGACTCTCATGACGAGTTCTCGGCTGCTGCCCTGCGTGCTCCGCTGTTCATGAGGTCTCAAGTGACTCAGGATATGCAGGATGGTGTAAGCACAGTGGTGTTGGGACACAGGGTCTGATGGGTGGCTGGCAGCCCTGGTGGGGCCCTCTTCACGGGCAGGGTGGCTGGCTGCCTCCTCTTCCGTGGAGGGGATGTTGGCTTGGGTTGATGAGGAAGTCCGTAGGTTTGTCCTGCCTCCTGACTTTTGGTCCTCCAAGTCTTTTGCCTTGTCATAGTTCAGTACTTTCCACTGCTGATTGACAGCCTGCCAGCGTTTAAAGATGCGATATACTGAGGGTCCTTCATGGATGATGAGACCTAGCAGGAAGAGAAGAAAACAAAGGCTAAGGAAAGAAATGAGATCGACGACTATCGATGACTAAATTATATGCCATACTAGAGCCTTCATCCAGCAGCTGATGGAAGTAGAAGCAGACACCCACAGTTAAACACTGAACTGTACTGAACTGGAACCCAGTAGCAGAGAGGGAGGAGTGATGAGGAAAGGGGTCAAGACCAGGCTGGAGAAACCCACAGAAACAGCTGACCTGAACAAGGGGGAGTTCATGGACCCCAAACTGATAGCTGGGAAACCAGCATAGGACTGATCCATATCCCATGAACCTGAGTGTTAGAGAGGAGGCCTCGGAAATCTATGGGCCTCTTGTAATGGATCAGTACTTATCCCTCGCATAGAAATGGATGTTGGGGGCCCATTCCACATAGAGGGATACTCTCTCAGTCTAGACACACGGAGGAGGGCCTACGCCCTATCCCAAAGGATATGACAGACTCTGATAATCCCCAATGGAAGGCCTCACCCTCCCTGGGGAGCAGAAAGGGTATGGGATAGGTAGGGTGTTAGTGGGGGGAGGAGGGGGCCAGGTGAGGAGGGGAGGGAGAGGGAACTGGGATGGCATGTAAAACAATCTTGTTTCTAATTTAAATAAAAATGGGGGGGGGGGAAGAAGGCAAGTAGCTGTGGGAGAACACAATCACTTCCTTGACTTACACACACACACACACACACACACACACACACACACACACACACACACGAGACACGGAGACTGGAGAAGCTGGGGTTTCACTGTGTTGATTTTATTCCAAATCTACCGTCCAGCGCTGAGCCACTTGATTCCAGAGCATCTCTAGCTTCCCGGGCTCCATGAGTCACCAGAAGGAAGGTGGCCATGAAATAGTTGGGATCTGCATGAAATGCCTTCACCTACTTCTGAAGCTCCATTCTGCCCTCTTCTTGGATTGACACAATTCAAATTCTCCAATTAAGTCATAATGTAAATATTTTTCCTCCCTGTATTACATATTCATGACCCCCTGTACTTAGCAGGTGTTAAATGAATCGTGCGCCTTTAAAAGGCAACATGAATGAAACCCTGAGGTCATTCCAAGCCTGCGGAATGACATCTGCAACTCCACTCCTTAGCTCTTTGCATAGCCTATGCTACTGAAATACAAGTTCCTCTGGCAGAGTGCACGTTCCTGCAGTTATGTGGGCCAAATGAAATGGGAGCCAGTGGAAACAAGCCACACCTGGCAAGCCACACACGAACAAGCCACACACAAGGCAGCAAGGCCAAAGGATATCAACTGGAGGCCTACTGTGAGCAAAGTACTTGGGACCCTGCAGTGCCTGAGACAGGAAGTCTTGCCCTTAGAGAACTTATATTCAAGTGAGGAGGCACATATGAGACATGCAAAAAAACCAGCCAGACCCTTTTCCTGTGCTGGCACATGCTGGGAGGAAAATGAAAAAGGGTTAAGTAGCCCTTGACTGTAGTCAGTTGGGGTCTTGTTTTAGCAAGAGGGAAGAGAAAGGCCATGGAATTAAAGTTGACATGCCTAGCACAGTGCAAGCGTGTGGATATGGGGAGAGGAGGGCAAGGTGGGCAGAGCCCTAGCTGTGATCATGTCTTACATGTTATCCCGTAAAATGGGAATCCCCTGAGGAGATTTAGAAGCGGGGAGGGGATGACATTGACAGATTTGCTCTTTAGAAAATTCACTGGTGTTCCAAAAGGGGCAAGAATAGAAATCTAAAATTAAGCAGGAAGTGACACTATAATTGAAGCTGAAAACTGGTGACCTGTACCAGGGACATCGTGGCAGAGCGAGTGAGACGTCTTCAGAGGCAGAATGTACGCTGCAGGTAGAGCGGATGGACTTGCCGACAAATGGTCTGACAGAGAAGCATCTGAACAACTCCAAGGCTCTGACTGCCATAGTTGGGTGATGACAGCACCATTTGCTGAGACGGAGATGGTCCCAGGCCTGACATGTGGATCTGTATTGGTGGTGGTGACTATTAGTTCCCTATGGCTGTCACATTCAATGTCTAGAAGGTCGTAGGTGGCTTGCAATGGCACAAATACATTCTCTTACAGTTCTGGGGTCATTCCCATGGGGCTAAAGCGCAGATGACCCTGGGGCCTACTCTTCCTAAAGGTTTGAAGGGAGAATGTTTCCTTACTTTTTCAACTTCTAGCCATTGTTTCTTCCTCTTACATCACTCCATCCTCTTTCTTCTGTTGTCACATCTATTAATCTTCTGTCATCAGATTCTTTGTTGTTGTTGTTGTTCCCTCTTACAAGAACTCGTGTGATTACATGGAGGGTCTACCCAAATAATTCACAATAATTTCCTCACTTTAGGATGCTCAAATTAACCTCCCCCCCTCTACACACAAAGTCCTGTCATAAAAGTCTAACAGTTTGAGGATGAGGCACCGAGTGTCTCTGGGGGCCATTATTCAAGTTAACCACAGTGATTAATGGTCATGTGTTAGTTATGTGTTAGTCATGTGTTAGTTAGTTAGTTATATTTAAAATGTCTGGTAAAATATCTAACTGGTAGTCCAAATGGCAATAGCATATATGAAGCTGAAGTCTGGGCTGGAGATAGACTTCTGGGGAACAGATATGGTACTGTGGCTTGCATCCACTTTAACACTCGGGTGTTACCAATAAGTTAGTATTGAAAACTGGGGCATTTATAAAGTGATTAGGCCATGAGAACTCACTCCTCATGAACAGATTACATGCCTGACAAAGAGCCTTGACAGACAGTTGGTTCTCACTTGTCCTTCTTTTTGCTATGTGAGGGTATAGCAAGAAATCTCTCACCAGGGTTTGGGCCATGACTCAGTGGGTAAAGTGCTTGCCATGCATAACCTAAGTTTGGATCCCCAGAACCCACTCAAGGTCTTCATGCTTACAAGCCAACAATTTACCAAATGTGCTTATACATATCTCTCAAGCATGTTTTAGAATCCCCTTTCCTATCCTGAAATAAAGTTTGTAAGATATGATAAACTCGCTGTGTTGTTTTTAATTAATGGAGTGCCTTAATATGGTGGATCTCAACCTTCCTAGTGCTGTGACCCTTTAATATAATTCCTCATGTTGTGGTGACCCCCGAACATAAAATTATTCTGTTGATACTTCATAACTATAATTTTTGCTATTGTTATGAATTGTAATGTAAGCATCTAATATGCAAGATATCTGATATGTGACCTCCCAAAGGGGTCATAGCCCACAGCTTGAGAACCATTGCCTTAACTTAATAGATAAATTAATGACATAAAACAAAAGGGGAAGTCACTTGTAAGAAAACAATTAAGATTTCAATGTAAGTTCTGGGGTACAACTGCATTAGCAAACAAACCACATGGAAAGAAATCATCCAGAGTGAGGTATCCCAGACACAGAAAGACAAATATGATCAGTGCCTTGCTTAGCCATCATCAGAGAAGCTTCTTCCTGCAGCACAGGAACAAATACAGAGACCACAACCGAACATTACACAGAGTGTGAGAGACTTTGGAACACTCAGGCCTAAATGGGATGCCTCCATCAAATCCCTCCCCTCAGGGTTCAGCAACCCAACAGGCTAGGAAGTGGAAAGAGTTTAAGAGCCAACGGGGGACCCTAAGAAAGCAAGGCCCTCTGAATCAACAGAATTGATGCACACACGAACTCCTAGAGACTGAATCAGTGTGCACCAGGTCCTGTGTGTGTGTGTGTGTGTGTGTGTGTGTGTGTGTGTGTGTTATGGCTTCTGGTTTAGTGTTTTTATGGGACCCCTGAGTGTGCAAATGAGTAGGTCATTGATTCTTGTGTCTTCTCTTGGACTCTGTTCCTTCTGTTTGTTTTGTCCAACTCTGATGTGATAGTTTTTATGTTATTATATTTTGTTATATTTTACTATCATTCTTTAGAAGCCTATTCTCTATTGAGAGACAGGAAGGGAGCGGGTCCTGGATCCAGATGGGAGGAGAGCTGGGGAGGAACAGGGAAGAATAGAATCGAGGGAGGGAAAACCTTAGTCAGGATACGTTATGTGAGGGGGAAAATCCACTTTCAATACAAGGAAAAAATAAAACACATAGAGAGAGAGGGGTGGAGGGAACCACACACATTTCCAAGATGCCTCCAAGAAGGTGATATACAGATGTGTGAAGACGCTGAAGGTGGGAATCGTGGGAGGGGGTGTGTGAGAGATCTGCAGAAAGGCCTGCAGGTCCATGAGGGCAGACACCAGCCAGGCAGCAGCCAGCGGCCAGCAGCCAGCAGCCAGCAGCCAGCAGCCAGCAGCACTGAGGGTGAAGGTGGTAAAGAAAGCAGGATGCACTTTGAAGTTCTGGAGCTTCTGAAGGATGGAGGAGCAAAGACAGCTGGGTGTAGTGGCAGGCAGCACAATGCCTGTGGACTCTACTTCTTGGCCCCACAGCCTGTGAAAGAGCAGCCACCATAAGACAGCTATGAGGGAAGCCGTTTCTGGAATACAGCTGCTTGGATGGAAGAAGCCCACAAAGGAGTAACTCATGTTGATCTGTTGTCCAGAGGTCACCACGGATAGGCTAGGGGAAGGAATAAACAAAACAAGAAAAGGATAATTGTCCATAAAATGAAGAGTTAGGAAGGCTGAGCCCGAGACAGTAGAGGAGACGACTGGCTAGGAGACATAGGGCAGAATTTGTCCTGCAGCCATGGAAACCTCAGGGAATGACTAGCTCACAGAGGCAACAAGAACCAGTCACCCTCGCCTCCTCACTATAACACAAGTCCTGGAAGGGAACACCTCACAGCTTTTCTGCTTCAACACAGACTCTGGGGAAAAAGAATAGCCACCCCATGCCACTTCTTCTAGCACCCAACAGCTCCTGAAATTGCCTGTTTCTCTGTGCATTTTCAAGAGTTCACTGAGAGACACACTGGTTCCTAGCCCTGGGCAAACATCATCTCTTTGGGGGGGAAACACAGACAATAGTTTTCGAGGGAGCATAATTTCCTGA